TCTGTAGTGTCGACCTAGATAGATACTGGAGATCAATATATAAAAGTACTTAGATATATTTATTTTTAGTTATTTTTTTTCTTAGGGTTTTCTATTTATAAGTTATGACTTCGTGGCAACAAAATATACTCAAAGCAACAATAAAAAGACAGTGCAATCAAATCACATCTTTTTTTTATATTAAGTAGTTTAAAAAACAGTTTGATATATGCGGCTTGCGAAAAAATGAGCCGCATATAAGACTGTAGTTGGCTCGAAATCAAAAACTACGTAGTTCGTAGGGTTATTTTTCTTCATTTCGACTGTTAATTTGTGAGCTAGAATGTTAACAATTCAACCCAGTTTATCAATGTAGCATATGCAATGCAGAATATATTTTTACATCATTCATCAACAAGTTAAATATATGCCGCTGCACTTGAATCAAACATTTAACAAACAATCAATCATGAAAAGACGTCAATTCAGACTATAGTATATCTATAAATGCTACTTATGCTTTACAACATGTACAAGGCAGTGTTTCTCTATCAACTTAAATTATGAGTATATGTAGTACACAAAAAGTAAAATTACTAACCGAACTCTCAGAAAATTCAAAATGGAAAGTCTTTTATCAAAGGGCAAAATCAAAAGCCCAAATACATTAAACGAATGGCAAACAACAGTCATATTTTGATTTGTTTTATTATGAAGAAAATATTGGGATAAACCAGTTTTTATAGCTAGCTTAACCACTCACTTGTATGACAGTCGCATATCGACAATAATTTTTTTTGAGCAAAACAAACAGAAGTAATAGGTAAAAAAGGTCAAATTATGATACATTGATATTTCTTATTTGCCATGGACCTGAAACAATCATCTAATCAGGAGCCTTTGAGTCAGCTTACAGTGAAAGTCCAATTACTACTTTTGCATTACAATCCCATGTGATTTTTTCTATAAAATTTCCATATGTTTACAATTCTTGATAAAGAATCATTTATTTAAAACAAACTCAAATTATATGAACTTATAGTTTTAACATGTTTTGTTAAAACAAATGCCTAGAATTTTAAGGTCGTCGGAAGGGAAAGAAATGGAGACGCACGAGTGCCTGCAGTTAAAATTCGACTACCAGAGAGACGACATGGAATGAGGATTGGTGATGTCGCTGCACCGGCAAAATCTAGATATTTAAATGGTAGCTGCAGGTGACGTCCAAACAATATTTTCCTATACAAAGTCCAGCTCTCATGCCATTTTAAGGATAACATCACATGTTAGGGCCTGATGAAACCAGCATTTAACGTGTATTTAAGCGCCATTTGCGAAAGTAGAGATACCAGCGCATGATAATGCATAATCAATTGGTGAGAAAGATAGGGAATAGAGAATTCATTGATTTATCGCTTATCAAAGTTTTGTCAGTCAAATTTGAATGCCTCTAAGTGTAATGAAACTCTGCCGGTTTACTTGTCAATTCGTCTAACAAAAACAACGGAGTTAAATCCAAATCAAAATATTGAGTCTTTAACTGATGCATTTATTTATTATATGAAGATGATTTTGCAACAATTGCCAAATTTCTAGTGAATTTATTAATTATATGTCAATAATTAGAGATATACGGGTTTGTTTTGAGAGATCTATTGTTATTATCAGCAATTTAGGTTAATAATTGCAAACAATTTTACAAGATCTTAGTCTTCTATTGGTGGCATTTCATTGTACACTGTTATAGCAAATGGAAAATCAAAAGGTAATATAATTCAAAAGACAAGTGTATCACAAGCAGGAGCATTTAATTCAGTTGTTGTCTTCTGTTGTTGTATTTCATATTTGTTTTTCGTTCATTGTTTTGTACATATATTAGGCTGTAAGTTTTCTTGTTTGAATTGTTTTAAATTTGTAGTTTCGGGACCTTTTATACCTGACTATGCAATATGTGTTTTGTTCATTGTTGAAGGCTATATAGTCACCTATAGTTGAAAACTCTTAGGTCATTTGGTCTCTGGTGTAGAGTTGTCTCATTGGCAACCATACCACATCTTATTTGTATAGGTAATCGAACATGCTTGAAATTGAACGTTAAGGGTGCGTGTTATTGACAGAATTGTTTCATCTGTTTATACACAGTTCAAAATGTGAATAAACACACCCCTTTTGATTTCTGTTCTCTACAAGTTAATATCAAGGAAAAGTTATCGTAACGGTTGTTTCCCAAATGAAAACATGCAATGAAACTTTACAACGATACCTGTTTGATGTTTTCATAGAGGACCATACATGTTTTCAAAGGGCAAATAACTCGACTCGAGGATTTAGAACCAGAGGAAGCACACAGATTTCACGTTTCAAAACTGATGCAAAACAAATATTTACCAATCATTTAACTTTTTCTTTTTCGGAATTTTTCATTTATCCGTTGGACGTTTGGTGTACTAGTATTCAAAGGCTTTATCAATGTTACAGAGTTAAATAAGCTTTTTGTTTATTCATAAAAACCAACAAGATGCAATGATTATATATTAGGGATTTTATAAAGGTTTCAGGTTGAATAATGTTAGATATATATCATATTTAGAACTGATACATATTACTCTGGCTTGTTAACTTATGGGGTAATTTATTTCATAATAAGAAAAAAATCATGATAATAAAGCGATGGTAAAAATTTTAATAAATGTTTATCAAGGAGACACCAAATACTTGCGCATGATGAATTTTGTAAGTTCGTTTGGCTTATAGTATGTTGGTCATTATTCGGAAAGTTTCACATAAAATCATTCTCCCCCTGTTTTTGCAAATATAGAATGCAGATTGTTTTTTCGTAACTCATATGAGAGATTTAAAGGTTGGCATTATTCAGCAGATTCACATTCAGCAATCATTCTGGAGGAAATTTTGAACATTTTATCCGAATAGTATCAATTCTGCATTTCAGATTTAAAAGTGTCTCATCGCAGCGTAGGCACTTGTACTACAGTGTTTATTTTTTGGTATAAGGAAATATATAATTTTGTATCTGGTATAATGCAGCGTACCCGGAGTACCTAGTTTCCATCGACAAACCAGGATGAGCCATACACATAATTCTTGATGAAAATACATCATTTAGATTCATGTTTTCGTTCATTTAGCATTTTGTGCATTTTGAGAATCCGGGAAATTAAAACAAAAAATAAATACACAGCCAGGCATCAACAGTTGACGTAAAAAAATAGATCTAAAAGATTGATTAACAACGTTAACAGTAAAAAGGTTTAATCAAGAAATATTTTACCAAATAATATGTTACTAAAATATCTTTCAATAAGACAAGTATTCGTTTCGAATAGATAAGGCAACACATTTTGCAATGAATGGTCATATTGACTGAGGTCGTTGGAAATCTGCATATATAAAACGTTATAGAATATTTGAGCTAACAAAATAAATTATGATTTCAGCTGTTCGTCTTGATGATATATTAATTGTTGGTTCTTGAACACTTTGCCATGCTCTTAATCACTAAAAGAACAGTTAATCAGGTAATAATTTAGATCACTTAAAATGTAAAATTGCTTTTGTGCTGGGCAGGCAAGTCATGTATGGTATGATATATATAATGTTGCTGGTACAATTTACAACATATTCAACTTGTGCAGCAAAATTAAACAAGCCTCAATATTGCATTGTGTTGGAAATGATATTGGAAAGGTACAGTGTGGTGCTCCCCTTTTATCAATTAAACTGAAAAGCATATTATCTCGTATGATTATAAAATGTTCACTTATATAGTCAAGCATCAGATATAACGACTTTCCTGGCGTTATTCAATGATGATCATGCCATAGGAGCTTAACGAAAACAGGGTTATGTCTTAAGCTTGCATACTAACACACGGAGGATATGTGGTTATGTATCCTGATTTTGACAACCATCACAGTCTAATATTTTGACGACGGATCACATTTGTCATTAAGTGTGGACAATGATATTTACTTTTGATCAAAAACAATCATCAATAGAAAAATTTATAAAGCATCTACATTGTTTTATATTATAAAAAAACAAAAAAACAAAAAAACATGATTTATTTTGACACTAAAAAAAACATCAATACATAGCCGGTAGTGAAATTTGGTTGCCGCAAAATTTATAACACAATATGTTTAATTATTCTGATTGCCTGATATGTTGTTAAAATTGCACATAGCTTTGATATGGCTTGAATTGTCATGGGTAAATTTTGTGGCGGATTTTCATTCTTTACTTATAGTACAAATGATAATTTAGGCGTAATTTACTGGATTTTATGCAGACTATAGATATCTCAGCTGCTACTTGTGAAATATTGCTGACTGAACCGACCTTCAGTACACCAGATTTGGATCGCCCAGCTGTTATACAATGATAAGTTCAATCGTCATCAAGATTTTATTTTGACTGACAAATATTTTTGTTGTTTACTGCTTTTAACAGTTGTTGTTGTTGTTGTTGTTTAATGTTGTTGTAACAGTTGTTGTTGTTTGAATGAATTTCGATTAAATGTTGTCATGAAAATTCATCAGCCAACCTAAACCAGTGTTTGTTATTTGTTGTAGTGATGTACACATACGTCATCAGTTGATATCTGTTTGTATACATTTTTGATATTTGGGTAATAAACAACAAGTTTATTATTTTTGATAAAAGGATATATTTAATAATCTACAATTATTATATTATCTTATAGATGATTCTTAAAACATGAAGTACACTGTTTAAAGCAGGCCATGTTCTAGGTAGTAATACTAGTTTTGTCATAATATCTATCATTGTAAAAGGATATAATAACGACATTAGACAAGGTAGAAAATGTCTAAACCTAGAATTAAACACCTAGCTCTGGCTAATGAAGGTCGAGTTCGACGATGAGCTATTATGTGTATTCCAAAACTGTTTTTTCGATAATTAATTTCTCTTCAGTAAAACGTAAGTGTTTTAAAACTATAATAAGATACAATGGTGTTTTTTTTTTTGTTAAGATAGAAAGAACCCTAAAAATACAAAAACAAATTCAGTAGGGAGTTTAACCTTTATCTTTCAACAAGATACTGATAATGGTTTGAGTTTTCCATTACTTGATATCCCGTGAAAAGCGGTGAAAATATTTAACACTTGTTATTTGATAAACTTGTTTTTCTTTAAGAGGTTCCTTTTTTTTTTAGTATTTTAGCTTGACGCTAGATTTCAATATTTGTTATTTAACCCGTCTAATGTATGGTAAATCGAATTTTCATAATTTAGACTCATTCATAACAGATTGCTTTTTGCTTAACATCTCCAAGTCCCATCGTTCCAAGGCCAATAAAGCTTCCGTTTGCTTTCATTTTAATGTCTTTTGCATCTCCTTTATATATTTGAACCGCTATATCTTCAGTTGCGACTTTCCCGTCTTGATAGGTTCTTCTTTCTATTCGACGTTCCAATTCCACTTTGTGACATAAACAACTTCCCATTCCTTAAACCTGAATGCATAAATGATAATCCATGGTTAATATAAGCTGAAACATTGAGCTTTATCATGCTGCTTACTGCCTTTTAACGATATCGATTTAGCTTATGCAAGTTCTAAAATCAAAGTATTAATATATGAATCGTACTTTCTTGTTAATTTGACCTGTTGATACTGTTTGTAATGCTTTTTTGTTATTTAATGTTTACTTATTCAGGGTTATATCTGGTGTATACACCAGCTTTGATAAGCATGATAAGTGTTTGGAATTACTATAAATTTTCACTTCTTCGTATTATGAACATCAAAAATTATTTCCTTTCTCCTTTTATACTGTATATACATCACACTTCCGGAACCTGTACATGAAGAACACGAAGTTTTATTGAGCACCAATTTTATAGTTTTATTGTTGATATTAACCCCACATGTACTACGTTTTAGCATAGTTTTATGTATATACAAGAAATTTCGTGGTCTTCCTTAACGAAAGGTTATACAGACAGAAGAAGAAATATACCTAACGACACAATTATTTTTATTTACCTGTGTATGATATTGCAAATGGCGGATTGTTTTTTCAATTTCAAGGTTGATGTTTTACTAAAATTGTTTAACATTTCACAGCGTCATAATACTTTTACTTTAATTTAATCATATCTTATTTTTATTAACTTTGTATTTACATTGTATCATAGGTCAAATTTATTCGTTCAGTGTATGTTCATTTGTGTTACTACGTCTTTTGATTGAGTTAAATCATTTCAATTTATATTTTATAGTGTTTTTTTCTATGTTGTGACGTTACACTATTGTTTCAGATGAGGGTGAAGGTTAGGTACCATCAAAACGTGTAAACCCGCTGCAATTGTTTGAAACTGTCCTAAGTCAGGAATCTGATGTTCAGTAGTTGTCGTTTGTTGATGGGGTTTCTCGTTTCTCGTTTTTAATATAGGTTAGACCGTTGGTTTTTTTGCCCGTTTGAATGGTTTTACACTAGTACTTTTTGGGGCCCTTTATAGCTTGCTGTTCGATGTGAGTCAAGGCTCCGTGTTGAAGACCGTACTTTGACCTTTAATGGTTTACTTTTATAAATTGTGACTTGGATGGAGAGTTGTCTCATTGGCACTCATACCACATCTTCTTATATCTATTAAACTAATATTTGAGTACGAATTATATTTTTTACGTTTTGGTGTACAGTGTAACGTTTATTCGTCCACGTATGAAGAAATACCATAGTTCTTACTACTGACATTTGACATTTAACATAAATGTTTTGTGATAAGAGCGGTATACTACTGTTGCCTTTATTTTGTAACGGAAATAAGAAGAGGCACAACTATTCATTGTGTTGACCTGTTTCTTAATTTCAGTGAAGATTGAAATCAATAGAAATCAACGAAATAAACATGGTTCTTTTTTTACACTTGATGATCTTTCATCTGTGTTTAAAAAGTAGTAAACATACATTATTGTGCAAACTGGGTCATATAACTTACATAAACATTATAAATTATAAAGATTGTGATTCAATATCTTTTTTCAGTACACTCACGTTTTTTGTCACTACAGAAATTTCTCTTATATTGACAAACGTGAAGATCATAAAAGGAAAATCTTAAAATAAAATACATTAACAGCGGTATTGATTTTATCAATTTGTCTCGTATTGCCTCCATCGTTCAAAGTTTTACACCTCCATATTTTGATAACATACATGTAGAGTCACCTTTCATTTCTAAAACGTATAAAAACAGTAAAAGTTTAACTTTTTTGTATATGTCAATTACATCAGACGTCAGCAGAGAAACCAACGTTTCTTCAACAAAAGACTGATACACCAAAGTTAAGAAATGATCCCAATGGCCATGTTCTTACAGGGGACATAATCATTGTTCCCAAAAGGTAATGAACTTTCTTAAAAAAATATCATCCATCGTAGAAAATTGATTGGAAAAAGTAAATATGCTCTTCCGTCCTCTTGTAAAAACTGGTGTTAACGGGATCTGACCAGAATTCCAATGAATCCTATTTAAAAAAATTGTGGTTATTCGCAGATCACATTTAAACGAAATTAATAAATGAGTAAAAGAGTAGGTAGACCGCACGTTTCTAGAATAAACACATCATCATTTAGGTACTTGCAAAGCGTTTTTTGTTCATAGCGACCGACAACGCTGCTCACAATGTAGTTGTGGTTAGACGAAAATACTACACGGAAATTCTTAAGAATGAAATTCTACATTTAATAAAATCAGCGCGTTCAACAGTGAGTCAAATAGTAAATAATCACTACAAATCTCTGCTCAAAGCCTCTTCCGAAAACTTGAAAGTCCCCACTTTTTATTGGCCATGCAAACGGACAATCCTAACAAATTAAGATTTCGTTTCATCTCGACTTATAGTATGTTTTCGATGAATAAAATGTCTGTGCTGTTAACTAATTTACTTACTTCTATTATCAAACTTCTTATTATTTAATGTAATTCAACATAACAAATAATGGAATAAACTATTTTGGGATATATCGGATGAATTGCGTGTTTTTGATAGATTTGGTTTTTCAAATTTTCAACTCTGTTCACACATATTTTCCATACAGAAGTTCTCTTATTAAATTAAATGGTCCTTTGAAACATCTGGTTATAGATTAATTTGCTGCGGCTCAGAAAAAGCCTCCTTTAAATAAAAAGGGAAAGGATCCAGATGTGCTTACTTGAACTGTGATGAGATTATTGAAGTTGTAGATGTTCTTCTTGACATCTATGTGCGTTTCCACAAAACAGTTTATTGACAGCTTGGAGTGAAAGTAACATACTTGTTCTAGTATTGAAATGAATCACACATTCATTATACATTAACCAAATCTTTAGATACAAATGGGGATTTTGCATTTTAATTTTTACAGATGTGTATTGGGCTCGTAAATTTAGGTACGCTTTATGTTTGACCTCGACACTTTCTTGTGTGATAGTTCCACGTCAGGAGCCTGTATTTCAGTATTTGTCGCTGGTTAATATCTGTAATTTTTGGGGTTTTTTCGTAGATCATCTGTTTTAATATAAGGGCTTTTTAAATCCGACTATATAGTTTGGGTATTTGCTCCTTGCTAAAGGTAGTACAGTGGCCTTTACTTCTTTATATCCACTTCGTTTGAACTCAAGTGGACAGTTGTCACATTTGCAATAATTACACATCTCCTTATTTGAATACTGAATCACAAAAGAGTATGAGACAACGATTTCTCTCACGTTTCAACTTAAATAAATATATTGACTGTCTGTTATTGCATAACCTTATTAACAAATAGTCTTATGACAATATAAATACTAGTAAAGCGCTCAAGGAGTAGGTTCAATAAGACCCCTTTTTGGCCCCAAAATATAGCAGTTTTTCAAAATTTTGAAAATGTAATCTTTTAGCTATTTATTGGAAAGTAGAATGCTTCTGCTACATAAATATGGACTGTTTTTGACAATACAATGCACATATATCGGGTACTAGCATCATGAAGTCATGCTAAATTACTGAAATCTTCACAATTTTAGCATTTTGGTTAGATTTTAGATGGTTTCCATCTTAAATGAAAGTGGCCGCATTCGTGTTCATTCATAATATTGAAATGTAAGTTCTATTTGATGATAATACATAACATATATAAAGGTTGAGGATGAACACGGATGCGGCCACTTTCATTTTTGACAAAAACCATCCGAAAAGTGACGTTTTCTGGCATATTTGATAGATTTTTCATATTTTAGCTTGAATCGAAGCGTTTTTAATGACTACATCAGTTAAAATATGTCACATAAACTAATTGAATCAATTGAAATAGACACTTCAGTGTTTAAAAAGTGTCTAAAATCTTTCGTTAGATGAACCTGAAATTTGAGGCCAAAATCGGCCCTTACTGGACCGACTCCTTTATATACAAATTGTATTCTTTGGTACTTTTTCGTAATTACATGGATCCATAATTCATAAACGTAGACAAGCAAAATGAATTAGGGAAATCACTAACTTCAGTCTTCATTTAGCTTGTCATACTTTCTTTCAATGGCTTATATTACAATAACAATACATAATATTAGGACAATTATTTAATGTCTAATTTAATAAATCATTCTATTTTAGCATCAACATTAATTTCTAAATAATTCTAGGTGTATGCAATATATATATTAATGGGGTTTTACCTATTAATGTACTGTCACTTTTTAATCATCAATAAGCTTCGCTTACTTATGGGTAGATGATTTATTATCCTAAAAAAGTTTTTAATGAATTTTAGACACTAGTCTAACATACGCACAAGGATAATAGTAACGCTGAAAGCGGCACACATGTAACCCTAACAGAAACGTTTAAAAATATGTCTCTACGCAACAAACAAATAGTGCATTATATCCGGTTGAAAGTGAACGTAAGCTATGATAAGTTCTTACAGGATAAACAGCTTATTTTTCCTGGCATATTCTATATGAATATGAGTTTTCTTTAAGGTTCATGACTAAACTATAGTATTAGACATTGTCATGACAGTGTCAAAAATAAAAAAAAAATAAGAAAGAATAGAAATGGATTTTGGTTACCCCTGGTCACCTTATACATATGCTGACTTTGGTTAACTCTGGTCACCGTACACAGATATTGACTTTGAAAACCTCTGGTCACCTTACACAGGTACTGTCAGTAATCCATCATGGTCACATAACTCAGATATTGACTTCAGTTTTCTCTGGCCACCTTACACAGATGTTTAATGTGATGCCCTCTGTTCTCTTGACACAGATGGTACCTCTTGGGACACATATATTGACTTTGGTTACCTGAGGTCAACGTACAGATATATTGACTATTATTACCTCGTGTCATCTTACATTGATGTTTTAATCACTTTACACATATATTTAATTTAGTAACTTCTGGTCACCTTACACAAATATTGACTTTTGTTATATCTAGTCACTTGACATAGATATTGACTTTTGTTACCTTTGGTCATCTTAC